AAAAGTCAACTGTGCGCCATTGCCTGCCAGGCAACAATTCGCTGCAGCCAAACAAAAAACGTTCACATTTGTGTGCTTAACTGGTTTTTAGCTTGGATTATTTTCTTGGGCTATGGCTGCCACAAACAGGGTGTCGCAGCTGATGCTGCAAGTTAACATTCCGTTGAAGCTATTCAGAATAAAATAAATATTGCCAACTAAGTAGTTAGGCATAGTGCATAGAGATAAGCGCTTTGTAGCTATTTTACGCGACACCCTGTATGCCCATATTGTTAACTTTTGTTAATTTTAGCTTGCGTACAATATAATTTCAAACATTTTTCACCCGCATTGTTGAAATTCAAAATCAATAGCAATGTGCAATACACACGCAGCGTGAAGCAGGCATACATATACATAAGCTGGGACGCAGTCATTAGGCAGCGTCTTTGAAACAAGTCGCCTGTCTATGCCGATTCTATATGTATATATGTATGTACACCTTGTCTCACACATGCACACATACACACGCACGCTCACAATACACCATTGTACTTGTCTTTACCTGTGCCTCTCATTTGGCGGGAAATCATGGCCTCAGCGCGCTCTCAAAAGCAAAAACAAAAACCCGAAAATCAGGTAACCAACTCAGCTCCGCTCAGCAGCGGCAGCGGCAGCAGCAGCGACGTTGACGGCGACGTCTCAAGCACAGCACAGGTAAGCGATCGGATCATCGTCGTCGTTGTCGTCGTGGGCCACACCAACGCAAAAGTGGCTCACACTCACAAACACAGGCGCACAATGCGACGCACACCTTTGCACAGGTAAATCTTTATATACTATGCTGACGCCGACGCCGACGTCGCTGTCGACGTCACCATCGCTGCCCGTCTCAAGAAGCTGATCTGGAGCCCGTTTGTCGCATTTTTACCAAAACTGAATTTAGTTTAGAAGCGTTTGGCGGCGTTGAAGGTGTGTGCAAAAGCGCAATCCGGTGCCCGAGCTCTGGCTTGCCACCATAGCATACCATAGAGAGCGCTACAGACTACACATAGAACTTATATGGAACCAGAACCATTAACATTACTCACATTAGGGTCTGTTGTCTGTGTCGGCAACGAAATTTTTCTCTCTCGCACACACACACAAAAATAAAGAAGATAATAATAATAAACCGTTGAGAAGGTTTCGCAAGTGTTTCGCAGTTCAAGTGCAGTTACCAAAACGTGTGTCAACACACAATAATAATATATTATACATCCAGCGAATTCACATACTCGTCTAGTTGCAGCTATGATTGATGATATAAGTATTAAAGATCGAGCAACTCTAACAGCCAAAAGATTCCAGAGCAAGCAAAGCTGCCATAATTGACTGGATTGGCGCCCCCCTACCGGAGGTTCTTCAGGTATGTCATTTGCATTCACAGCTGTTAAATATATGCGAGTCGAAATTCCTATACAACGTGTACGTACATCCGGCTACGAAATGATCCATACACGTTTCCAGAATTTTCAAATCTCTCGTTATCGTCATCATCGCCATCAACGACCTCATCGCCTATGCATAGGCAATTTTTTTTTGTTCTGTTCGTGTCGTCGTATTAAACGTGTTCTAGGGCAATCGGTAGTCGGCATTCGCTCTTCGGCATCGTGTTATATCGGCAATCGGCCATTGGGGAATTGGAAATTGAGAATCGTCGCGATATTGCTAGGTAGGCCTCTACAACGTTCAACCTAATCAGTTGCGGCATCTCGAGTCCACACATTTGCATACGTATGTATATGTATATATATATCTTAGTATATATATCTAGTCGTATATGGTATGATATATCGCAACATCATGATGAGAGATTTATATTCCTGGAACTACGTACATATGTATTGTATCTTGCGGTCAGTCTTAGGCGTGAACTCTATTTATTTGGCATAAAGTGCGCTCAGACTTAAGATCTGCGTCATCTGTCGGCATATTAAGAACGATTTAGAGACTGGCAGCGACTCGGCCATGTGCTAGACTAGGTGCGGCTTGTTTGTCGAACATCAAAGTGTTGAATTTTAAGCAAATTCAAGGTAGAATGTGCAAGACCATTAAAGATGCTCGCAGAACAAATAGTAACAGGCCATAACTCAGGTAGAAAAACCTTTATTTTTAGAAAATAATTGCAGATAGTTTACGCAACAAAGCCCGACTAGTTGAGTGTAAAAGTAAAAATCTTTTTTATATCTATATAGTTATATTTCCAGTCAATGGATGTTTCCCCTAATATACAGTAAAACTTTAGGCATTTCTAGATCAAACCCGGGCCATATAATATATATATAGAGTGCACGTTTGCCACCATTTATAAAGCTGCGTAAAAACCTTGAGTTCATACGGGTTTTTAGAGAGTTTAAAAAAGAAAAGTGAAGCCTTCAACTCAAGGAGATTTTATTTTAAAATCAGGTTCAGGGGACTGCAGCAATTATTGCTTTTAGGAAGGTCATTGAGATCGACGAGTAGGAGAATTGTGGAACTATCCACTGGGAATAACCTTATAAAAAAGAAGCTGAAGTAGAGTTGCAAGGCCGGAAGCGGACCACATTTAATGCAAATTTGAAGTATTATAAATTATTATTAATAATTTATATTTTCTAAAATGTCATATAGAAATCACAGATCTTTTTGGCCTTGGGAACAGCTGAAATTTAAATCTATCTTCAAAGCCTTTGCCGTTGCATTACCTTAGGCAATCCGACTTCCCGGCCTGTTTCAATAGAGCAGTAAGTTTTAAGTAGTTGCTGCTACTTACCTTATGCCGACTGTCGTCATATCCATTGCACAATTTGACCAAAGCGGAGGGTAGGAGAAGGAAAAATTAAAGAAGTGAAGTAAGACATTTCAGAGGCCCGTTTCGTACGTTTTGCAGGCTTTTCAACATTTTCCGCCGCTTTATGTTTCAACGATTATTACAATGAGTGTGTGTGTGTGTCTCTGTGTGTGGGGAGTGTGGAGCGGAGTCGAATCGAGTCGAGCGAGGCGCATAATTGTGGGAACCTACGGTTACGGAACGTTCGTCTAGCGAGCAGTAGACAGACATAGGTAAGGCCAGTCAGCCAGCCAGCCATCCAGCCAGCTAGCCACTCAGCCATTCACTTGGCTTACTCACATTTTGCCGGCGCTATAATGCCAATGCAGCCAAGCAGGCAGGCAGGCAGGCAGGCAGGCAGACAGCCCAAACAACCACCCAACCTGAGCACAGTTCGGTTCAGTTCAGTCCACTCTGTCGTCGGATCGTCTTGTCGTTCCAGTTACAGTCACTTGACCAACCGAAACAATAAGAATAAGAAGACGAAAAATACTACAAACGCCTCTGCTTCTGCTGAGACGTTCGGTTTTTGGTCGCGGGCATAATTGTTGATCGCCGTAGCGTGCATATTTATGGGAATATTTTTCGAAACATAAGAAGCAAAAAAAAAATCATTGCAGTCCACCCTACCCATACACATGCATACGTAAGCCGAGTTCTGGACGAACGCGCGCGCGACCAACTTTGACCTTTTTTGTTTTTGTTTTTTTCTTGTAGCATTTGTTGCGCCCTCCCCCAGAGTGTTTGTTTGTCTATGCAAAATGCATAAAAATTCCACGTAGCATTTCTCAATGCAATGCCAGTCAACGGCGACGCCTGCGCAAAAACGGCCGCCGACGATGACGACAGTTGCCAGTCGACAGTCTCCACAAGTTTCCACAGTCGTGTGGGCGCTACCAACTCGACAAGTTGTAGAGTCGAGAAAACAAGAAATCCAGTAATCGAGTGAATGCTTAAAAATCGAAACTCGCGCGCGCGCGCGCGAAATTGGAAGGCCAAAAGAGCCGCCGCAAAAAATATAAAATAAAATAAAATAAATAAAACGATGGCAATTGTTGAGCTAAGGAAAACGGCAGCCGCATATTAAGGCGAAACACAGCTAACGACCAGCCAGGATACAGGGTGCTATGTTGTCTTTGGTTATCTAGCTGTATGAGTGATAAATAACGTCATAAAGCTAGCTTACCGAAGTTAATATTAGTGTCTGCTCAACGTACCACAGCGCGTATACTTAACAAGCTCATGTTATGCCACAACAATATTAACTTTCATAACATAACATACGTCAGGCACTTTTTATGACCAACATATCAAACGAGTGAGTAAATTTGACATTCTACTTATTTAGCCGCTACGTGCTGCTCTCTTTGCCTTGATTTATGTCGGTTTCGACTACAAAATTTGTACTTAATGGGCATATAAATAGCATACTATATATGATTGAGTTGGTCAACATTAACAAGGCAAGACAGCAACAAGAAATAGGGCATTGCGACGACCTTTGCTTGTAAATGACTTCATTTTTAGTACTTATTTGTTTCTCTTTACCAAGCGCATTCAATGACGTAGCTAATGAGCACCTGATTTTTTGAAATCGATATGCCAAATACATATATAGCTTGCAAACTGCGGCGACTGCAACAATAACTCATTAGCCGAGAGCTGGAAGATGATGTGATGACCATGGAAGACTGCGAAAGAGAAAACCGCGAAAAAATTCGTACTCTAAACTTGAGGCGCGATATAAGCCAAGGTTTTCATTTAATGTTGTGTTAAAGCTATTAGCTCCAATGTTAATATTAAACGAATTAAAGAAAGGTATTTCGAATGAAATCAAATTTAAAAAGGCCCCTCTTAAAACGCATGATGAAGGTATATTCATATTTTCCATTTTAAATTTTAAGTTTGAAATAATTTATAAAAATATAAAGCACACAATAAGTCCAGAATAATATAAATGTATAGAGAATATTTTACCCCGAAGAAAATTGGAGGATAAAATATTTCTCGAAAATGGTAGATAGTCAGAAAATATTCAAAGCAAATATGTTAGTGGGAATAACACATGACAAATAAAGGAAAAGTAAATATTGTTTAAGTAAAACGAATATAAATTATATTAAAACCCGACAAAATGTTAAAAATTAGACCCATTATTAAAAAGACTTACCTTATTTTGTAAGATTTTCAGGACTTACGATATGCAATAGAGGCTTGTTCCTTAGTTCCGACCGTAAAATGTTGTGCATCATCATAAACTATTGCCGATCTATAAGTATAGAAAATTGTATGTGTTTATTAACATTTCATAAATATTGATTAGTTCTCTCAAAAGCTGCTGATAGGAGAACCTAGCGCAATCACATTAATCATATTTTTGCAGGTTTAAGTTTAAATTTTTGTAAAATTTACAGAATAACCAAATTGATTGCAACGCCTCAACTTTCGCCTTCACAGCTGACTGGATTCAAGAGCTATGCTTAGTTTTAGTAGTAAATTATGAGCAAGCATATGACTAAGCTTGGAGTATGCAAATGAATCTTGCCATATTTGTATTGTAAGCCCGGCAATAAAGCACAACATCTGTGCGGTATGGCTAAAACAAATTATAGCCGCTGATATTCAATATGTAGGTAAGTAAGTATATACATGGGTATAATAAGTATACGTAGCCGAACGACCCGACTATATCACACACAAAAACACGCAATCAATCTCACCTGCCTCACACACAAACAACACTCAGCTGTACGAGTATTATCTTATATATACACATATATATATATATATATATATATATATATATATATATTTGCGTGTATATAAGAAATGTATATTCCTTTTATGTCTGTGTATGTGCATACATATTAAGTATAGATCTCCAGCTAGTTTTATATAGCCGATGATGTATGGTGGGAATTTCCGTTACTTTCAGCTCTCAAGTTTTCTACGTACATATTTCGATCGATCTGTCAAGGCGTTGTCTCTACGTTAATAAAAAAAAGCAACAAAAACGTAAGACTCGCGCCGTTTGTTGTTGTGGAAGTAAACAGATTTCTTTATTTATTTTATTATTAATTTGTTTTTTGTTTTTTTTTTGTATAGTTTTTCTTTGTTCTTGTTGTTGTTGTTCTGTTCAGACACAGACCCATGGCAGAGTGTTTAGGTGTCGAATTCGAATTAAATATCACTAAAAATCAAAACGGAAATTCTTTTAGATTAGTTTTTTTTTGTTTTTTGTTTGTTGTTCTTTTAGAATATCGCTACAGGAGTTGGCTCTAGTGGCCAAAACTTGTTGTTTATTAATATTAAGTTTTGTTGACTAAAATCATTCATATTAAATATTTTGCATTGAATTCGTTTGAAGTTGATTTTAGATAGGCTGAATTTGTTGCTTTTAACAGTACTAAATTAAGTTAGAACTTAAAGTTAAGAAATAAATGCTAAAAATACAGTTTAAATAGTCAACACCATAATTATAATAATAATAATAATAATCATAATAAATTTATTATACATACATACAAGCTCAATAATTTGTTGTTTTTTCGTTTTTTTTTTTTTTAAGTATATTGAACTAATTTTAAATGTTTGATTTGGTTTAATTAATTATATTACTTTGAGTTTGTTAGAATTTGCTAAGAGTTTTGTTGTTTTTGGTTTTAATGCTTCAATTAAAAGCCTCGCCTAAACACACATACATACACAGTTAAATAGTTGCTAACTTAGTTCTTGGAAGAAAGTTTTCTTTAAATGTTCAATTTGTTTTCGAAATATTTTGATTTGTTCATTAGAGTGTTCAAAAGGATGACAAACTGAAACCTTTGGACTATATAAAAAATATACAATACACCAAATTCCAATGGGCTTAGAAATTAATTATACTACTAGTCCTCATAAAATGAGCCAGGACAAAGTTTTCCGCTTGGCCTGGCCCATATAAGTAAATTATGAACGGCGAGTCCCCTGAAGGACTTGGAAGAAATAATACAAGTTAGTTGAATATTATACACACTAAACTACGGACTTTTTAAAAAATACGTAAAATTTTTTTTTTGTATTTCTCCTTTTTTTTTTTTTAAATAATTAAATAGTTCTTTTGGTTTTGCTATTACACAAATCGTATGCTCACGATGTTTGTTGTTACTAGTTTTTAATTTTTTCTTATTTTTTATTATTACTTTTCCTTTCTTACTTTCTTTTTTATTTGGACCCAATGCAACTTGCTTGAGTGAGTACCTAACAATTGTTACTTTAATTTATTAATTGTTTATCAATCTATTTGCAATGCTATTATTTTGTATTATTGCCCGCTTAAAAACATACACAGTAAATTCCTCTAAAATGCGTCTGTTTCGGTTGTTGTTTTTATTCTTGTTGTTGTTTTGGTTTTGTTGTCGTCTTGTCACCTATATAAAGTAAATAGTGTTGCATTTATTATTTTTTATATTTATTAACGGGTCCTCGCTAATCAAATCCGACTTTGCCGCTTCGCAATTAAGTTTAGTGTGTTTGTATTCTGTACTTTTTTCTATCTTTCCTATATATGCTCTATGTATATGTTTTCTTTTTTACCCATTCTCGTGTGCAGCTTATGTATTGTGTTTGTGTAGTATATTATTACATTTTACACATTTAGATAATTTTGTGTGTTTGGTGTTTTTTGCAAAATTTAATGAAATTATTTTGCATTTAACTCGAAAATCAAATTTTAGAGATTTCTTCTTTTTTTTTTTGTTTTGCTTTTTGTATAGATTACATTTTTGTTTTCCTTGTCTACAACAAATACAATTTCATTTTTAAAAACTTTTCAAGTTAGACTAAACGTAAACGTAAACGTAAATTAGCTTCAGCTTCTTTAGCATTAACCATACTCCACGGCTGGCTCAGAAGGATGCCTCCACCAGGTAGGTGCCATCCATTGGCTGATTGTTTTGGCTATTTTGAGCATTGCTGGCGGCTGGCATATACTTGCCGCAGGCCTGTAAAGCAGAGCGAAAATGGGATTAGGTCAAAGATTTATTAGATGTCAATTGTGTCGGCAAAATTTCGTAAATGTTACACTGATTTTCTGGAAATTCCATTTTTATTTATAACTTGAAGCGCTCGAAAGTATGCAAGCTTTTGTCCATTTCACTCCAACAAAAAGAAAACAGTGAGTGAGAGGAGAAGTTAGCTTTGGACTAACTTCTGTCATGTACATGATAATTAGCAGCTGGCTGAATCAGAATCATATATAATGCTCTTCGAAAAATTAGTTTTTCGCTACAAAAAGTTGAGTTTAAGCAAAGATTTAGTACAGCTTGCCGATATACACAAATTGTCTAGTATTTATTTAAAAGAAACTTTATTGCTAGTTTATTTTTGAGTATATTTGTAACAGATATATGATTCTTTGAGGACACCGCTCCTTAAAATATGCACTTGAACACGAGAACATGTTTGATTTCAAAATACAAAGCGGCCATTTTGCGTACACCCCAAAAGCAGGCAACACTTTAGCACAAAAACCTTTTATTGCCGGCCGTTGATAAAGTGTGGCATGCTTTTAGGCGGAATATAATCGTAATATCAATGTGTTTGGTATTTGTTGGATTTGAAGTGTACATGATAAACACACAAACAAAATGAACAAACAACTAAATACTTAATGTAGAAAAATAGTTTAGCACCCACCTGCACTTGAAACACAAACACACACATACACACACGAGCGCGCACGCACACATTCATAGTTGCAAACACAACATATAATAGATAGAGGGTATATACAGTTGGTGTCTTACCTGATAACGCTGGGAACAACAGCGTCCGCAACAGGATTGCAACAGACCTGCAGCGCTGTTTGTCGAGTGGGCGGGACTAGCCATCGGCGAGGGCGAGCCCGGTCGCTTTGGCTGGCCGTTAAATGGTATTTCTAACTCGACAAATTCACGATCCTTTGGATTTGAGCATTTAAGTGTGAGTACCAGAAAAATTTTACAAAGAGAAACATAGAATACATAGAGTACATTGTTTGGTTTTACTTTTTTCTTTCTTTTTTTTTTATCAATTCAACACAAATATACAGAAAGGAGTAAGGATCTTAAGCCAGGTTATACACACACACACAAAACACAAACACAGGATAGGATATTATATATTTAGTAATAATAATAAATACTTATAGAGGTTTAGTCAAAACAACAATCAGAACATTAAAGCTGGGCGTAGGGAAAAATTGTCAAACATTAGAACGCTTAAATGTACATTGAAAGTGAATGGTCTTTGGAGCGGGGGCGGGGGCGGGGGCTAGGGTAGGTTGTTGATTTTCGGCACCTAAGCAATGACAATTTTACAATAACACAATAAGAACTGTTTTGTTAGTCAGCCAAGTGATTTAACAGGGCGAGGGCCAAGTGCTTAGCGCAGCAAAACGAGCGTTAGGCGGCAGGAAGGGGCATTTTTTTTTTTTTTTTTTTCAAAGCAAGCACGAGCGAGCGACTTTTGTGTGCGATTTTAGCTAGCTGTTAATAACACGCGCGTCAATTACGATTCGGTTAGTTTCATTTTATAGCTTTGATTGTTAACTGATTTTGAGCACTCATCAAATAGTTGAGATCTGTAAATTTAATTAATTAATCTTATCTGAATCCTTAAAAACAATTCGTCTGAAGAGCAAACCAAAGATTCAACAATGCGATTTAGTTTAACAGAAATATACTTTGGGTCGGCTGTTGAATTGCGTTTCTACCAATTTGGATTATATGAAGAATTACATTTGCATTTAAAAAAAAATAATAACAATAATAAGAGTATTATACTATTTAGTTCTACTTTAACATGCTTTTTAAATGGCGAAATGTTTCATTTTTGTTGCAACCAGATCGAATGTTAAATGCAAGTGCAATAGATTTCGAATCAGTTATTTTGTTCTGTGAACTCATGAGTCTGAAATACTTCAACTATATGTAAGCAATGTGGAAAGCTAACCGTGCAATCGGTATATTTTCCTAAAAGTTCAATTCAAATCCTTATTCTAAACGTACTTGAACTGAATGCCAACCGTTTGGAACCAGTTATCGAACGATCAATACTATAAATACAAATTGCGAAAAAATCGAATATAATTCTTAATGGAAATGCTCATATAAATTCCATAATATTATTTTACAGATCCAACAAGAAAATCTTGCATAAATTACCCCATTTGGTAGGCGCTCTTTGATTTCAAATTGTTTAATTTTCAATATTGTTTTTTAATGCTGTTCATTTTATTTAGTTTTAGTT